TCTTGTCCCCAGTGCCTAGCCAGGTTCCTGGAACATAATAATTGCTTAGTAAACATTTGTCTGATGAGTGAAAGAAAATTGGACAAGAAAGTTTGCACAACAGTACAGTTAGAGTGCAGTGGCTGGGAGTGAGAGCTACATGAGTGAGAGCTAGCTCGAGTGTGGATCAGAACTACCTGGAAGGCTTGTTGAAACACAGATTTTGGGATTCTACTTCCTGCTGCAGTAGGTTTGGGGCAGGGCTGGAAATAATGCATTTCTGACAAGTTCTCAGGTACTGTTGCTGCTGCCAATGATGATTAGAGATCACATTTTGAGTTACTACCACTTTGCTCCTGGTAAGGAGAGCAGGCTGGAGCAGTAGATTAGAGTCACTTTTCAGATAAAAAGAAAGGTTGGGTGGGATGTACATGCTTTGGAAGTCTCAAAGGTAGTGGTCAAAACAAGAGCTATTTGAATTTGATGATAGAGATAGTAGAAATGTCCAAAAGTTGACAAGGTCTAGGGAATAGCTATGAGAATGTATGATTGAAGCAGCCTGTGGAGGAATATATGGCATGAAGGTGGTCAAAGTCCTGAAATTAACAAACACTACATGAAATTATACAGTATCAAAATGAAAAAATGGAAGATGTAAGTGAAAAGGAAGATTGTAAAATGGAATGTGTGGCATTATTCCAATTTTATTAAAAATGCATAGAAAAAAAGCGCAATGTTTATAACATAGTTATCCCTATGGTTGAGTTTTATTACTTCATTTTTCTAAATTTCCAAAGTTATCTCCATCATCATGTATTCCTTTCATGATTAGGGAAGAGCTTTTCTTATTTTGAACTTCCCCGGCATTGAACATTTCCATCAGTTGAATTAAATTATATCCTCTTATGCCATTTCATACTGCTCTTTAGAACATCCTAACTTTTGCTAAAAGTATGGAAATCAACAAAATTAAAGCAACCAAAATAAAAAACAAGCAAAGGAAAACAAAAAGAAACGGAAGAAAGAATGTCAAGAAAAAAATAATTTAGTTGGTACTGACATCCACAAGGAAGAATCACAGGTTTTGCCTTGCAATCATTCTATATGGTTGAAGTTTGTGGTGAGCTACCTGGAGAGGCTAAAAGGCTCTTGAGGACTGGTGACCTATCAACTGGTCAGACAGGGAACTCTAGTCCTAATCTCTTACTTATCACCTCCTGTTTGATGAGGTGCAGACAAGGTGTTGAATATCGTTCTCAACTTGTCTTGTTCAGAATTACATATACTTATCCTTCTTTGAACTATACGCTTTCCCCGTACAATATCATTCAAAAAAGTTGATAGGCTGGGGGCCTCGGTGCTCACGCCTGTAATCCTAGCACTTTGAGAGACTGGGGTGGGAGGATTGCTTGACCAAAGGAGTTCAAGACCAGCCTGAGCAAGAGCAAGACAACCCTCCCATTTCTATAAAAAATCGAAAAAAAATGACCTGGGCATGTTGGCATGTGCCTGTAGTACCAGCTACTCAGGAGGCTGAGGCAGGAGGGTTGCTTAAGCCCAGGAGTTGGAGGTTGCAGTGAGCTGTGATCACGCCATTGCACTCTATCTGGGGCGATAGAGTGAGACCTGTCTCAAAAAAAAAAAAAAAGTTAATAAAAAGGTTTTTCTTTTCTATCATTTAGTTATTAAAATTATTTAAAAAAAACTACTTGACAATCTGAGCCCTCTTTATAACAAAGTTTATCTTGGGCATGAATTTAAAGTTCCGATCAATTAAAGTACATACAAATAGACTTTTAGAACGCAATACATTTTATCCAGGAGAGCCCTTGTGTAATAAAAAGTTCTGTCTGTGTGTTATAATGTATATCGACTGGCAGTGGTATTTGCCAGCAAGAATTTCTTGCTCATTTCCCTAAAGGAATGAGATAATACAGGACTTTAGCATATGTACCCCTTCAATTCAAATATGAACAATTCTGAATCTCTTGTCAAGGCCTTGTAATTCTTTACCTGCAGAGGAGTAGATGAAATGAAATGACTAAGTAAATATTCAGAGGTTTAATCATATATAGTTTCAAAATCAGGAATATGAATATGAATATCCAAATTCTTATTCCATAAAAATCCATTATTATGGAAGAAAATAATTAAACTGTACAGCAGAATGTACAGGATATACAGAATTGTAATTATCACTGTGAACACTGATTGGATCAGGAAAGACTAGAATCTTGATATTTCAATTACACTGACTACTTGTAGCTATTTTGCTGAACGTCCTTTCATCTCTGATAATAAAGTGTGAATTAACAGAACCATTCCAGAGACTAGGAAATGATGATTCCCAATGATGTGGCAAGGTAAGACAGTAAGTGACAGAGTAGAATCAGAACCTCGTTTTCCTAATTGCCAGCTTAGTACTTCTTATTCTAGGTTGTATTAGCTGTGCTGCCGCAAGGCAAACCATGTCAATGCCTTTCCCATTTTAGAAATAGGTTGTGTAGAAACTTCCTTTGTGGTATGATGGCAAGAGGCACCTATTATTTAAGAAATGCCAACTGCTGATCATTAATGACAGAATGTTTTTACATGTTCCTTACAGATTCAAGTTGTCCTCCATTTCTTCAAATAACCATTACTTTTCTAAGTTAGTAAAAAAGGCAGGAATTACTGAATGTTAAAAAGGAAAGGGGCCTTACACATTATCTATCCTATCATTTTAGTGAGGAAAGCGAGGCCCAAAGAAATCTATCCAGAGTCGTCTTGCAGGAGTTGGTGGGAGTCTCGACTTTCAGTCCAGGGCTTTTTATAGCATATAGTACTTACTCAGTTGCTCAATATTCCGAAGCCATGACATAATTGATATGATGTTTATGGAGCCTTCAGTCTTGATCAATGTGCTACCGTGGGGAGTTTGTGTGCCACTTTACCTCTTTATTTTTGTTATCCATTTCTTTATTCAATACAATTTTATTTTGCTGCCTAATGTTTTCGATAGTCAGAAAAAACAAGTAAAACGGAGAGTGGAAAATGTGAATTTAAATTTTTTTAAAGGAGAATGAGTGAAGTAAAGCTGTCTGGAATTTAGAAAAGTTGCAATTTTTGCTAAGAGAGAAGACTAAGAAAGATTCGTGAGTGATGGCGGAGTGAGTGGACAAGCTCCTACTGCCAGGGCCTCTGCTGTCAAACTATTATAGGGTTATCTCATTCCTCTTAACAGCCCTTCAGCTTAGGGGCCAGTTGTTAACCTCATTCTATTAGCTAGGAAGAAACTGAGGCTCAGATATGTTCTGTAATTTACCTCGCAGACACATAAACTGGTAATAACGGTAGAGCCAGATCCAACCACGTCTGGCTATAAAGCCCGCGCACTTTAACTTCTACAGGGTATGTATAAGGTGAACCAATGAAAATAATGGTAACTGTAGTGCAATACTAATAATAGTAATAATGATAGTTAACATAGTGCTTTATAGGTGTGATCTCTTGGAACAGGATTAAGTGAGCACATGAATAGGACTGGTAGGGAATCTTTATACTGTTCATTATTGAAACAAGAGAGGAAGACAGAGGACATATACAGTTCTTTAATGCCCTTAAGATTTCCGTTGGCTTACTTCGTTTTCTGAAAACTAATTGACGGGCTCAATCAGTTTTTGTTTTGCTGCATTTATCAGATTATAATCTTCTGAATGTGGGTGGATGAGTTGGTGTGTAATTGTGTGAAATCAAACCTGATACATTCAGAATTCTTCCAGTGGATAAGTATACCTTTTGGATTTAATATTCAATTTTGTAATTAGTGATCACTGTTCCTATTATATTTACTGAATGGGAGTTTTAATCTGTACTTTTTTCCCTTTTAAAGCTGCATGTCATATACACCCATATTTCCTTAGGAGATCCATGAAAGAAATATGTGTCTTCCATGTGAAAAAGCAATTTTGTATTTTGTGGAAAATCAGTAACCACTCACTTACACATAAATGCCCCCAAAATGAATCTCTGATGACTAAATTCATATTAGTCTGCAATTCCAGTTTACCGTTAGGCTCACCCCTCATGTTTGGAGGGAGAAGATATCCAGTTCTGTAGTAATGCATAACATAAACGTGGTGTCAATTTATAAAGAATCCCTGTCTTTTTCTTTCCTCTCCCCCAATAATCACTATCTTCTAATGGATTAATGCTCATTTGGGATACAAATTTAGATACAATTTCCCTTAAATTTCGATACCAATTTCGGTAAAGATGGTGTTCCGGCCTCAGAATTGAATTCTGTGTATTTAAAAATGTCATTTTAATCTGCAACTCCCTAAAACCATTACTACAGAAGAAATATTTATTTTGCTACTCAGCCTAAAAACTTTTCACCCAAATTACACGCCTTAATAGCCACAATTTTATCTACGTAATTTTAAGCTAATTTGAAAGACTCCATTTCTAGTTGTCAGAGAAGAGTTGAAACTGAGGCAGTAGTTTGAAGGGGATAATTTAAAAACCCACCTCCCTGCCTGGAGAGACCTCAAGAATTTCCACGCTCAGAAGGTAGGTGACGTAAGAGATTTTGGGAGTTGATCAGTGCCACTCTCGGCGAGATCCCGTGGATGCAGGCCGAGCCGGCTGCGGCGAGGGCCGCGAAGAGTTAACCAGACACCGAGCCCCCCGCACGGCGGGCTCCCCGCGTGCTCCTTCCGCCCTCCCGTCCCCACCCTCTCGTTTTGGCAAGGGATTAAAGTGCTCCCCCCTGTGGCAGCAGTGACCCAGAAATGAGTTTGATTCACACAGTCCTTCCTCCATAACAAGCCAAACGCCCGTCCGAGAGTGCCTCCGTGCGTGAGTGCCGGGTGTGTGCGCGCCGGCGAGAGCAGGGGCCCGCCCGGCTCCCCGCCCGCCCGCCGCGGCCCGAACTCATGCGGCGCCGAGCGAGCGAGCGGCGCGGAGCTCAGCGCCTCGGCCGAACCCCTCCGCAGCAGGTACGCGCGCGGGGCCGCGGGGGGCGCGCGGGGTGGGCGCGCCGCGCGTATGTCCGCGCGTGTCCGCGTGTGGGTCCGTGTGCGCGTCCGGGTCCCGCGGCGGCGGCGGCGGTGGCGGCGGCGGCGTCGGCGGCTGCAGGACGAGCCGAGAGGCTCAGCCATATTTGATGGTTTTGTTGCTTTGCTCGGGAGTTCTCGGGAGTAATTTAATGCCGAAGGTCGCTGCCTAGTGGAAATAATATAGTACGTCATTAATATGGCGCCAAAAGATTGGGTTCTCGATATGTAGCGAGGAGGGAGGGAGGCAGCCGCCGAGCGCAGCGTTACTATCCCACCAGTAACTTGGGCATTGCCGGGGCGGGGGCCAGAGGAGGAGGAGGAGAGGATGATTTTTGGATCCTGAGAATTGATCTATGTTGGATCAGTAAGTTTTATTATGATTATTTTTTTCAATTTTGGGGGGGGGCAAAGAGAGCTTTTTCTTCTTTTGGATTTGTGAAGAACATACGTTTTTTCAGGTGGATCATCAATTAAATGTGTTCAGGAGCAGAAGCCCAGTTTGGTTGGCTTTAGTTTATAGAATTTTTTTGAAAAGCAAAAGTGCATTAGGCTGCATGAAAGTGGAAAGCATAGTAGCAACTTGGTAGACAGATGGCAATGGCAGAACGCAGGTTCGCGTACATATATGAATCCAGAATGTGTGTGACCGTGTGTGTGGTGGGACTATATTTGTCCAAACATAGGTGTGTGTAGGTACATCTGTGTGTGGTGGCCGCAGCCCTGGCTCTTGTCACCGCGTCACCACATGTCCAAAATATTCATTGCATCAATTCAAGGGCAGTGGGCAGGGGGTGGAGGGGCAGCTTGGCAATTAGATTCTTCTAAATTGAGCTTCCACTTATCAGACCTTTTACTTATAGCGACACTGCCTGTAAAGTAAAACCCTTCATCGATGAAATTGGGAAGGAGTTAGCATTGGTAGAGCAAAGTACCAATTAATCATGAACTTAAAACGGATTGCAAATTGCAACCTTTGGCACCATCTGCAAATGGTGGGGGTGGGGGGGGTTTCTGGGTCTCCTTGCTGCCTTAGATGAACGTGCAGCGTGTTCTCCGGTACTGCAAGTTGCAAAGCCCTTCAGTGCACGTGTCTTGTGCCTGTGAGTGTGTTTGTGAGTTGGGGGCTGTTGTTCGGTAGCCAGCAAGCTTTCCGGGTAGCTCTACGTTGGCTTGCAAATGCGGGAGAGGGATGGAATGTGGAATGTTGACCGGGGAACCGAATCCTGTCGGAACGGTCCCATTTGCTGGAGAAATTCGATCCCTTCCACCTCCTTCCCGCTCCCCCCGCCCGCCTTTGGGCAGGAGGCGGGGCTGAGGACGCGGCTGCTGCTCAAAGTGGCGGAGCGCGGCGGCGGGAGGCAGGTGCACGGCACCCGCTAGTGGGGGTGCCTCAACTTCCGCGGGCGTTTAAATAGCAGCCTCTCTCCCCTCCCACCGGTAATAGGTGACCTGGCGGCCGAGGGCGGCGGGGGGAAGGGACCGGGGAAGACCCTGGAGCGAGCATCTGCGGCACGTGGGCAGGTGCTGGGTGGCCCCGGGGCCAACTTTTGTAGCCCGCCTCTGGCGTTTGAGGAGAGGCAGCTCAGTGTGGAAATGGGGGCGGGCGGCGGTCGAGGCGCTGCTTCTCGGCCGCGGCCGGAGCGTCACCTAACGGTCCCAGCAGCGCCGCCGGGGCCCGGGAAGGGGGGTTGCGGGGGCAGGGACGCCTGGCCCGTCGCGCCCGCCTCGCACAAAGCCTGCGGCGCGGTAGTGGGCGCCGCGCCCCTGCCCCGGGAACGGCCACAAGCCCGACGCGGTCCCCGCGCTGGTTCCGGCGGGCGGCCGCAGGCGTTTGTTTGTTGGTTCCGCGCCGCCTTCCTCGCCGGATGGCTTCCTGTGACAGAGGTGATACACAGTTTCCAGAACTGTCTGGGGGCGGGAGCGGGAGCCGAGCCCGCCGGGGGCTGCTCGCCGCCGCCGCCGCTCCCATCTTAAAACCGTTTCTCGCCTGCGCGCCCGCCCCAGCCTGAAGGTGCCGCCCCGGAGGGGTTTGGGGAGGAGGACGGCGCGGCCGTTTCCAGCGGCGCAAGTGGCTTCTGGACGCGAGGGAGCGTTTGATTTGCAACTGGGGCCAAGCGGATTGGTGCAGCTGGCGGCGGCGGGGCGGGAGGAGCGGCGGCAGCGTGGGGTGGCCACTTTCAAATGGAGAGGGCGGCGGCGGGGACGCTGCTGCGGAGGGAGCGGGGCTTGGTTGCGCCACGAGAAGGTGTCATCACTGCACCGGGGCTAATTCCGGCGGAGGTGCCGGGAGTTACTTTCCCCTCCTCCCGCGCTGTTGTTTCTGTCGCCTCGGGAGGAGGAGGAGGAGGAGGAGGAGGAGGAAAGGGAGAGAGGGAGGGGGCGGCGCCGCGCGGAACCGCGGCCCTGCGCACACCCGGGCGGGCGGCGGGAGTCGGGAGTCGCGCGGTGCGTTCTCAGCTGCGGGGCGGCGGCCCAGCTCCCCCACCTCGGAATTCCCCCCTTTCTTGGGATCCTCAGCTTGTTCATCTCCCCTGAGCACTCTGTCACCCTCCCACCCGGGCTCCTCATCCTGTCGTCCTCCACCTCAGCTTTCTCGGTCCTGGGTCTCGCCGCCTATCGGGTCCTTCCCCCGCCCCAGCTCCCCTGGCCCCGGGTTTGCCCATCCCGGGCTCCCCCTCCCGAGCACGCGGGGGAGGCCGCAGTCCCAGCTCCTGGTGAATGCTGCGAGCAGACAAAAAAGCGGGCGATTTAAACGTGCCTTCGAAACCCGTTAGGAATGCGTCGTCACCCGGAGACCGTTTAAAAGCAGCTTTAGCTGGCTTTCTAGTAACGAGGAGGCAGACGCCCCACCTCGCCTCGCCAGGGGTGAGGGTCTGTCGCCCTCTGTTTACCTCGGCCAAGAAGGAATTAATTTTTCTTTTTGTAAAATGATAGCTGCCTTGACTAACTTGAGACAGCTACGTTTTTAGGGAAGCGAGAATGGATCTGAGCTTTCCATTAATGGGAATGCTTAGGGGTTTTTTTCCCCAAAGCTTTTTATTAGGTGAACTATTTTTCCTTTTTATAATACCCGCTGTGAAGGCTAGCTCTCTACCTACTTGTAGCTCAAGGCTAATAGCTTTCAAAGCTAATGAACTAGTTTTAAGATGCAGAGAAATATTTTCCTGAAAGCTGATTTAGGTAGTGACTCACCAGTGGTTAGGAATTTTGTAGTAAGTTGCATCTTAATCAAATCACAGCTAATCAAGATTTAATCACTTCTAGGTGGAGAAAGGAAGCATTCAATGTAACCATACTTACACTAACTCAACACTTCTGATACAGTAATTTGTTGTAGGTGGGCAACATATGTGGGGGGAGATAAATGGGATGTTTCTGTGGGTAACCCTTTTTAGCAAATACATCCAACCTGGAATTTTTATTGTCCTTTTATCCCCCAAATCTTAATCCTATTTATTGTCACCTTTAAGTCAGATGACTTTCTGAGTGGTATTTTGCCATCTTCCTTAAGTTTGTGTATTTCATCTGGCATTTTCATTTGAATGTCTAGAACAAATATAATTTTCAGCTATTTAAGTGTTAGATTTCCCCGTATCTCCTTTCATCCTTATACTAGCAGAAATAGATAATGGGAGTTGTCTGAACATGCAGTAGAACTTGAACTTTATTCCATCTTTGAGATCATAGACTGCTTTTTAGTAAGAAAAGTTGGATGGGTTGCACAGAGATTTTAACTTTGACAAGCTAGATATCTGTTCATCTAGAAGGAATAAAAAAAACCCACCTAACTAGTTCCCCCTCTATCACTTGACAGGTTTACTGCCTGTAAAGGAGTTTGCTTATATTAGTTACTAAGGTTAAAAGAGTAGCTATACAGGGAAAACAATGAAAAATGATAAGTGTGTCTGAGAGAGAGACCAGAGAGATAAAACTTTATATAGAGTTTAAGGAAATGTGTTTTCTTGCTTAGCCCAGAGTCTTGGGGAAGAAGGATGAACTGAAACAAACTTGGAGGACTTGGTGAGAATAAAAGCAGATCTCCATATGTCTCACCTATAGTAGGCACGTGATAGATATTGATTTTTTACTTTAAGGAGCCCTTAGTGTCTTAACAAAGTTATTACACAAGTGGTGTTACATGTACGTTGTTGAAAATTAGAAAATACAGAGAAACAAATATAAAAACACATTCCTACCGCCCAAAGATCACCACTGTATCACTTTCCAGATAATTTTCTATGCATATTTGTATGCATATTTTAATCAGAATGAGATAATTCTGTGTGTACACAGAGTCTACAGGAGGTTTTTTCTGTTAGCTAGCTTGGTAAGTTTTAATATCATTTATTACTGGGACATGTTCAGATTTCCCTATTCAGCCCCAAAGTATAATAGAGCAGATTTGTCTAAACCACTGTCCAGTAAAAAACCATTTATCAGATCTGGTTGTTTCCTTTAAGTAGATTTCAATCTTTAGTAACTTTTTGATAGGATGTATGACACTGGGGAGATCAGCCTTTGGAAATAAAGTCAACTGGATTGAAAAAAAACTGGAAATCAAAATAGCATTTATTATAATTTGGAAATTTAGATTTGGAGATCATCTGTTTGAAAATAGATACCTGATGTATTTATCCACAGACTTGTTGGAAAAAGATTTACCAAATGTGTGCGTTTGAGTACTGAGGTGGTTGGAACAGTAAACATAAAGGCGTCAAACACTGGTCGTGTCCTGTATCTGTAGTGTTTGTTGGAAGTGAAGAGGAGGCATATGAATCTGTCACAATTCTGCTTGCTTCTTTACTTTCCTGTTTATGAAGCTCTTCCCTGTAGTTTAGTATTATGAGGCACCTGTTACACCATTACAGTTAATGGTCTATCATAATTTGCATTGTAAAACCTGTTTTCCCACAAGGTTTATAGAATAGATATCTTGTGGAGGAAGATATGACAGCAAACATGCCTTCCTTTTTATTTGGATTGACATTGAAAAGTTTGGCTTGATTGTTAAAATAGAGTTATATCAGTTTTAAACTTTTTACAACCTCCTTGTCCAAGCCTTTAACTTAGCAAATTGGCACCATATTCAACAATACTTTTTTTTTTTTTTTTTTTTGCGTAAAGGGTGGGTTTGCTTGGAGTTGTTAGTTTCTTAGAAGGTGTCAGAAGTCTAGTAGCAGCCTTAATTGGGAAAATATTTTAATTCCTGAGACAGGTAAGTTGTTTCCTTGAAAGTTTTAGTGTTTAGTGTGTTTTCTTAATTTTCAAGATTCTGCAGTATGTTATGTGATTATGCATTTAAAATTTGGACAGGTATTATGTTTATTATGTTTATCTTTGTAGACTATAACATCTCAGAAAGGT